ATTTTTAAACATAAGGATCCATATGCACTTGCACTCTCCCTCGTAAGGGGTGACCACTAGGCCACTATATGCTGGGCTTATTAAGCATAAAATATATAGTCCAAACTTGAGAAATCACACAAAGTAATAGAAAAGATGAGCAATTGAGCATTGATAATGTCTCAATCACAGGTCATGTTCTCTGCCTCCTGCCTTATGGAATCAAACAATGCTGATGACAAGTATCGCTCTCCAAAACTGGGGAAAATCACCTGTGCAGGAAAACAAAAGAAACTCAACCAATGTTTGTTTCCTGCTAAATCAATTAAATGGAACCTGAAGAATGTAATCAGACTCACAGCAATAAGTTTCCCAGCATTTTCCGGCCTCTTTGCTACCCTTATTGCAGCTGCTGCAGCAGCACCAGATGATATGCCAACCTATAAGAAAGGATTTTATTTTGAGAAAGAACAGAATTCCAGTTGTTAGCATCAGAGAGTAGAACCAACAAAAACTATGACAGAAGAAGCATGTCTTTATGCAAATTTTCTCTATAAGGTCATGCAAAAGAGATATATGTCTTAGCAGTTTTAAGCTTACCAGCAAACCTTCTTTCAAAGCAAGCTGTTTGGTAGTTTCGATAGCTTCCTCGCTGGAAACCTGAAATGTTGCAACATAATCGGAAATGAATAGAATAGAAGATAGTAAAGTAAATAGGATGAAGTAGAAGAAACTCTAAAATTTCATAGAGCTGGCTAGAACATGGAAGAAATGAAAGATAACTATAGTTTTCAACTTCTAATTGTTGATGATGTACTCCAACATTTCTATGAAAATCTAAGTTCAACAGAGAAAACTTAGTAATAGGATGAAACTGCATTAAAAATTTGAAATTATTTCTGAAGTTGAGTGGAATGCAGTTGCCTTCTCAAGACTTACTTGAATAACTTCATCAAGGATGTCAACGTCCAAAACAGTGGGGATGATTCCGGTGCCAATTCCTTGGATCAGATGAGGGCCTTTAACATGGACAACAGACAATGAAATTAGCAACCAGTCAGTGAATTTGCCCGTGCCAGAAAGGTTTTGATGAAATATGATTGGTAATATAACTACGAAAGGTTAACAGTCTTCTTTGAAACAGAATTATAGAACCTTGCTAAAGCAGAATACACTAGTGACAAGGAAAAGCAAGGAGAACTAGGGCATGGAAGTAATTAAACTTACCAGGTTTTCCACCATTTAAGACGGCGCTTTCAGCTGGTTCTACACCGTATACCTATAAGCAAGCACAAGTAAGATGCTCAAAAAAGACTTAAAAGCTAGTACATATTAACAGCAATAATAAAAAAGGTGGCTCTCACAGACGGGGAAGAAAAAAACACCTAGGGTTCATAAGACAACCTTAATATCTGGGTTCTTCTCTTTGAGGAATTTCCCTGCACCTGTTATTGTACCCCCAGTTCCTATCCCTGCAACCAGGGCATCAACTTTCCCTCCTGAATCTCTCCAAATCTCTGGGCCAGTGGTGTCATAATGGATCTACTCACACAAACAATTCAAGTTATCCTTTCAAATATGCCAAAAGAAATTACATAATACTAAAATATAAAAATTAAAAGGGAAGACACCTTTGTATTGGCAGGATTTTCAAATTGCTGAAGAATGTATCCATTAGGTGTTTTACTCAGGATCTCCTCTGACTTGTCAAAAAACCCCTGGATGCCTTTTGACATATCAGCGTGAAGAATCACCTCAGCTCCAAAAGCTCGTGGAACAATTCTCTTCTCAATACCACAGATTGGTGGCATTATGAGGATCACTTTATATCCTCTAACTGCTCCAATAAAGGCCAGCCCAATTCCAGTGTTACCACTGGTAACCTCAATGAGAACAGTCTTTGGCAGGTAGAGTTCAAATAGATATAGAACCAATGGAAGTTTGTCAGTAAAAATGTTCAATTTTTGGATTATATATTCATACTGAAATCTGTCCTAATAAAGAAAAGATCAGTTCGAGCATTGATAGACCAAGAAAAAATCTTTTGATTCCTAGACAGAAGAAAAATTCATTTATACTTGATGAAGAACACATAACTGCCTAAAATCATCCTTCCCAAGTCATTGAAATTAATTGAATTGTGGTTAGATTGGCATCAAAACATCGACTGACTTTAAAGAAATTATCTTTGTAATTATGTAATTATAGATCTAATAGATGACATTCAAATATGAGAATATCAACACCTTTCCTGGGGTAATCAACCCCTTTTCTTCTGCATCTTTGATCATACTATATGCTATCCTGCATGTTGCAACAGAAAGATTATAGCAGTTAAAATTCCCAATATGATATGAAGAAAATTAAATAAATGAAAATGTGACAGAGGAGGGGGAAGGTATATGCCTGTCTTTAACACTAGAACATGGTTGCATTGCCTCTAGCTTAGCAGCAATAAGGGCCACACAGCCATCCACGATGTTGTTTAGGTATACCATTGGTGTATTGCCTATTAACTGCACAAGCCACTGGAGGTTAAAACTAAAATTTTCGAGGCAGCATGTCATGAGAAGCGAATTTTAAGATGAAAGAAAACTCGAGATCGTAAACAGTTTGGTAAACGAAACTTACTTCAGTAACATCTTTCTTGATTGCACATTGGCCCTCCATATTCTACTTATAAGAATCTGCTGGTTAAAAAACAAGTGAAAGGATGAGAATTTAACTTTTGGAAGAGAAAAATTGCGGCCTTGAACAAGCAGGAAGATATCGTTGGCACAGTTGGAAAGTCAACAAAACAAAAGTTTCCACTTCTCCATAGGCATTTGTTTAGCCATTGTGCAGAATTATGGCAGAGTAGAAAGTCAAAAAAGAAAACAGAGAAATTTGAAAATAAAGGGATCATAAAAACGCCATGAATCCAATATCCTAACAGTTAAAAAGACCAAAAAAACAAGCAAACAAAACAGAATTTCAAGCACAAATTACTCAAATCTAATTGGAGAATATGATGAACAGAACAAAAGTTCACTGTGTGCTTGAAAAGTATTTTACCAAGAATGTCAAGTGCTTGGTCGCCGGAGATCCAGAAACTTGAAGAATCCAACTCCTAAACCAATAATAAGGCCATAATTAAACAGAGAGAAAAGGCAAACAAATCAAAAACAAAAAGAGAGAAACAGAGATCAAGACAGTGAAACGATGAAAGTTAAATATAGCCTTAAAGGTTATGCAAATTTTTCTGAAAGGGACCTACAAATAGTTAGATTCTTGAGTCCGGATACAGGATTTTATGAATACAAAGAGTAAATAAATATATCAGCCAAAAAAAGGGGAGTAAATAGACTTCGAACTCTCCGAAGTCCAAACTTCAATCCAAACCTTATCTCTGCAAAATAATTTCTACCCAAAAACAACTGATATTAGCAACATGATTGCTGAGCTTTACCTTTTCTGGGGTATGAACCAGGGTAGTAGCTTAAAATGATATCAGGAATGTGCAACATAAAAGGACCATAAACAAAGACTAGACCAGAAGCATTCTCGCATGTAACGCAGCCACATGCAAGTGGCTATGCTTATCCGTGCGTGAGAAGCAAGGGGAGCACAGCAGCACATATCATCAAGTCAACTCTTGTAAAGTCAACTTTTTTAGTCAAGTAGGCACTAACTTACGAACCATGTCTTTATAATAATAATAATAAAAAAAAACAAAGATTAGAGCAGAACAATGTGCACCCATTTCAGGAAACAGTCAAAATATAAAAATTCAAAGCAAAAAAGTAAGAAAGAAATTAATAATAAAAAGATGATAACATTCTTAGAATAAATTAAACAAACGCAGATTAACCAAGACATGAGAAAAGTCAGATGATTCAGAAAGAAACAAAGTCAAAGAAAACATGTTTTTCCTTTTTTTTTTAACATGGGTAATTATGAGAATAGAGGATTTTTTAAAGTGATTAATGACTATATCCCGTGGTGTGTTGTACACTCAATCAATTAAATTAAGGATTAAAGCTTGAGACAAGCCACTAGGTCCAAGGGTCTAATTCAGAAAACATGTATTAATGAAGCAGATTGACCGAAACTACCAAGTGCAAACCTGTAAATCCTTATCTCTGCAACTGCAAAAGAATATTGCCCCAGCTCAACCCATAACGCTTTTATATAGTTGCCAAGTGCGATGTCTTTTTCTGGAGTGTGATCAAGGTTGTTAGAATCGAGATTTTACTTAAAATTGAAAAGGGTAGATGAAATTGTAGATATAATCATAAGATTTTAATAAATTTAACAAAAAATTATAAATTATGTAAATGTTTTAAAATAAATTGTTAAATTTGTTCATTAATGAAATAAGAAAAACTTACAAATCAAATAAAAAAGATAATATAAATATAAATAATTGTTATTATTAATATGAAAAATAAAAGTAAATAAAAAAATAAATTATATAAAATTATTATATAAACAATAATTTTATGATTTTATATTAAACAATTTTAATAATATTAATTTATAATCATATAAATCTATAATATTTTAAATAAAAAATAATAATTATATTATATAAATAAAATATAAATCTGTTTTTATTATACATAAATAATAAAATATTTTTACATATTAAAAATAAATACAATAATTAAAATTATTAAATTACAATTAAAATTAAATAAATCAAACACAAAAGACAAAAGAAAGAAAGCACAATACAATTTGACTTTTTGGTTTTCAATGGAGGGACGGCTCGGCAAGTTGCAGCGGCAACGTAGAGGGCTCAGCGCAATATAGACAGCCCAATGGTAATATATCACTGATGGCAACACAAAACCAATGGCAACGATGATCAATTCGGAGATGTCGTCGTCGAAAAAGAACTATAACTAAATTTGAAAATGAAAGATTTAACGTACCCTTTTATTTTCAATTTTGAAGATTTATATGAAAAATTAGATACCATTTATAATTTTAAAAGAATTTAATTTTTAAATTCGTTTAAGATCACATTTCTAAAATTATTTAAGATTTAGTTTTCAAAATATTTAAAATAGTAGATATCATAATTTTACAATTCACAATCTTGATCGTGATTTTTAACTTTTTATTAAGATTTTTAATTTTTGTATAGACTACTAAACTCAATTAATATTGTAAAATCGTACGATCATATGATGTAAATTGTGATCTAACAGCTTTAGGTGTGGCCTACTCACGCCAAGGAAATTACGTTGAAAATGAAAATTTGAACCGCACCATGGCGTCATCCCAGGTCGTGGTCATGGCAACCAACTCTCACGTGATAGTCAACGGGATTTTTTTTGAAGGTTATTAATTTTACTTGATTTCCACGTCCTTTACTTCATTCCCAAGTCTCGCACCCGGTGACCTATGAAAATCATCTTCTGTACGTTATGCTTTTTAAATTTCATGAATATCATTTTTTTTAAATTGTCCTATTTAAAAAATATTTACATATAATTTTATTAATCTATAATTTATAATCAATATCAATAATTTTAAAAATATTTGAACCAAGTTTTTCACTTCAAATAGTTAGTACTCAATCTTTAAAATGGTTAAGTTAATTGAAGTTTCGAATTTTATCGGCGTTTTGAAAATTTTTTTTTTAATTTGTAAATTGTTAAAAAAATTTTAAAATATTTATTTATAAAATTCTATTAAATAATAAATATAATTATTTTATTAATTATTAATTATTTTTAATAATTAATTAAAATAAAAA